CACCAAGCAGACAATAGCTACGCAAGCGGCAGTTTAACGATGCCGGGAGATCAGCAGGGACGTCTATTCAAAATAAAGAATCGAGAAGATGGAAATTTTGTAACAGATGTCCAGAGTACACTTGGAGGGAACACTTCTCAACGCTTCCGAATGGCAACACAGGTGACGTGTTTGAAGAAGAAGAACCCGAATCAATGCATAGGGAAGAAGCTCACGTTCCTCCACTTGACCAAGACGAGGTGAGAACAGAAATATGGCGGCTTAAAGACAACAAGGCCCCCGGAGCCGACGGTATTCCAGCTGAGCTGTTCAAAGCCGGCGGCGAAGAGCTAGTCAAGCGCATGTACCAGCTATCAAGCAGAATTTGGTCTAAAGAATACATGAAATACATTGGAATCTCGGTGTACTTTGCCCAATCCACAATAAGAGAGATCCCGCCGTTTGCGCCAATTATCGCGTAGTAAGCCTTCATAATATTGCATATAAGGTCCTGTTGACTATAATGTGTGAAAGGCTGAAGCCCTTTACGAACCAACTGATTAGACCTTATCAGTGTGGCTTCAGAACTGGTAAGTCAACCATTGACCAGATTTTCACAGCGCGACAAATTCTGGAAAAGACACTCGATAGGCAAATCGACACACGCCATCTTTGTGTTGATTTAAAGCTGCTTTTGATAGCACGAAGAGAAGCTGCCTGTACAATGCCATGTCTAAATTTGGGATCTCCGCAAAGCTAATACGGCTATGTAGAGTTACGTTGAGCACAACTTACAGCTACGTCAAAATTGGGAAGGACCTCTCCGCGCCGCTTGAGACCAAGCGAGGTTTTAGGGAAGGCGATTCACTCTCATGCTCCAGCAGCTTTGTTTTTCAGCCGAGTAACTTTATCATAATGAGGCGGTGGGACATTGACTCCATCCTCATTGACTGGGGGTTCGGGTTTGACTTCTCCACTTCTTTAGTGCTGCTGCCATAAAATATACTAAAAAAGTGTTTCACCCATAATTTGAGTATGGCTACGTGCGGGTCGGTGATCTCCAAGACTACGGTAGGGCAGGTGTGTAAAAATTAGGCCGCGAGGACAAAATTTATTTTGGGATTCAGAAAATGAATTTAGACCCCAGGTGAAATGAGACGGCGGCCTTAGTTCATGGGTTGTTCTTTGCATCCACAGTATGCACGAACTTCTATACGAATACCGAGACTTTTGTTATTTATAGGTTATCGAAGTGGACGCCTTTCTAAGTTTGCACAATAGACCTAAGGTCGTAGTGCATAGCCTCTAACAATCTAATCTAAGTTTGCACTGGTCTTGTCAGGTTTGCCAAATGTTCAAACTCAGTTTATTTCTTTGTTCTTTACACCCGCTACGCTTACTTCATACACTAGGACAGTATAGATACTGTTAGACTTTATATGCATGCATACATATTTTCACAGAACAACGTAAACATATAAATTTGTGGTATAAGCACATCGTTTATGAGAATGTATCTCTTGGAATGGGAATTTACCGAGTACAGGTGCACTTTTATTAATATACTCAATGCAGTAACGACCTATAACCAAATAAACAATGCCTTTCAGTTGGCCATTGTTGGCAGTGAGTGCGAGAATTCTTGTTCAACTGCTCTTAGTTGGTTGGTTTCTTGGTAGGTCGTAGAAAAGGTATTTTGTTGAACAGCTGGTAGATACAAGCCAAAGCAGATATTGGTGTTTGCTTTTGTGTTGTAAGAGCACTGGGAGAGTGTAAAGAGAGTGAGCGAATAATTTCGTACTGGTTGTTGTGGTGGTGGCGTTGGGGACTACTACCGGAAATTATCTGAATCAGGTGGCAAAGAGAACGAACCGACGCAGTATCTGGTATTGCCCAGTCTGTGAGATATGAAGTTGAATGTGGGATTGGTTAGGATTCATTTAAGTAGTTTTTTCTTTTTATTTTGTATTGCATCGTTGATGTGCCAGCATATATGTATATATATGTATATGCTGCAGTCTTCTTAGTTGGGAGAGTGCTACCTCTCTTATGTTGAGTTGCTTGCCAAATGTTTTCGAGTATTTTCATAAATTCATATAGATACACATCTTTATGCATACATATCCATGTATTTACATACATACATATGTACATATGTATGGCTTTTTGGTGTTTTGATTTCTATTGTTTTCTGTTTTCATTGCTGACGTTGATGGGGCTGTTTCTAACGCTCAGTTGCTATTTCTGTTTTAGTTTATGTTTTGTGGTTCCTTCTTCTTTTGCTTACCTCGCCGCCGTCGCGATCCAACAGAGCAGAGCATAACAGCGCTGAGCAAATGAAATATACTACAGCAGCTCGCACGGCAAGGCAACCCGCTGCCGGGCACATTGGAGCATGAAACGACGTAACAACGCAACACTGAAAACCAGCATTCACGTTCGATGAATTCAGTCGTTGATAGGCAACTCTCGTGTCCAGACGATAAGTGTTGTTTCTTCGCCCTCGAACAAGTGAAAAGCAAGCGTATTGTGTGAGCTTCCCGCCTCCAATTGTACAAATACGATTCCAAAAACATGTATGCAAATTCCTTGGAGAATAAATCGAATTACAACACATTTTCAATCTTCCTTGTGACTAATCAGCTGACAACCTAACTGAGCTTCAAGATAAGGGTATACCTACCTACCAATCCCCGAAACGCACTCGAATTGGCAGTGCATTCGTTGTGACTGATTAAAAAGAGGGAATGTAAATAATGCTGCATATTGCCGGGCAAGTGAAATTTACCAATGAACGCAAATTAAGTGCAATTCGAAAACTCGCGCAGTGCTATAAATTTAATTAAAATTAAATATGCACGAACCAACATACGAATATAGTGCTATCAAAATCATTTCAAATTCACATGCTCCGAACACTGTTTCCGTAAAGAACAACTGCGAGTTGTGCTAAGTGCTTAAGTAATTCCCTATGAATAAAGCAATATAAAAAAATATTTAATTAAAGCGCAGTATTAACACATTTTTTACAAAATATTGTAGAAGTGTTCGTATTTGGATTTTCAAAGTGAAATCTAAAAACTACCTCTATACAGGCAACAAAAGATAAAAAACGAAAGCAATTACAATAGCAAACAAGTGCATATTTCCAAGATACTCGTATTGCCGAGCCGGCTGACAAACGAGCGTCTGTGTGTGAATGTCAAAACAACAACAAACATTGCGAATATAAGTATAAAAAAAAAAAACAATAGCAATAACAAGCACCGATAATTGTGCAAACAATATTTCTGAACTTGAATAACGTTTTGCCTTGAGTGCAAAAAAGGAGAATAAGTCTAAAAATTACACAACCCGTTTTCTGTATTGCTTTTTTCTTTAAACACTGAACAACCTACTCAAATTATTTAATTTGGTTTGACATTGCAGTGGCAAGTGCATTTTTGCGGAATCGGTATTTCTCAACGTTTTTTTTTCATTCGTTGTAAGACACCTTGTGCTTTTTTGTTTGTTCTGATTTGTGGCGAAAAGTGCTCTGATTTTTGTTGCGGAGCAGTTTTCAAGTCGAAAGTGTTGATTTAACCAACACTATAAGAAAATCGGTAGATTATGCTAAGGCATAAATTGAAACAGCAGAGAACGCTTAAGACGAAACGAGTCGAGCAAGTGGCGAATGTTATGAGTGAAGCCAAATATGCGGCCGCCTCTTTATCACGCGAATCCATACAATCGTCGTCCACACAACAGCCAAATTTAAAAGAAGAACTGATACAAAAGAACAATAAAAATATTGGTACAAACAATTTTGTAAAACAACAGACACAACAAATTCAGAAGTGTTCAAAACCTACTAACGAACTTATCGGAAAGTCGCAACAACTTGATGTTGCATTACTATTATTGCAACTTTTTGCAGATATTGTCGAAACTCTTAAACATAACTCTAAACGTAGGCAAGTACTTGGAGACACAGTTGGACTACGTAAAATTTTTCAACATTAGTAACCTGCTGAAGACCAAGATAAAACACGAGAGATTAAGACACCCAGCGCAAATGAGAGAGGTAGAGATAGAGAGAGAGAGACAAATATACTCACGATGTTTAATATAACCCAAATTCAAAATAAAGATAATTAAAAATATTGAGCAGCCATTCGGACTAAGATAATTTTATTACATTTTCTTATGTTTATCGATAAATTTGAACCAAAACAAAGCAATTCGAATATTTGTATTTCAAAAATTTTATGGAAACTTAGTGATTGTGAAAAGTTAAAAAATTTGAGTTGCAAAGTAATGAGACTACCGGGGTGAAATGAAATGATGATGAAATCCAAGTGAGAATATTTCATAAACTGTAAAATAAATTTCGGAATCACAAAGTGAACAGTTTTAAGCAAAAATAGAAATTGCTAAACGAAAAAAAGAATTTGTGAAATAATAGCTTCCATTTATTCGGATAGCGATTGAAGTATTTTGTAAATTTTGTGTGCATCCATAACCCAAACCATTAAGATTTCACGTTTAAAATAATACTTTACCGGAGAATATTTATATATCTCCTTACATTACTTTCCTCGTTCAAGCATAAATTATCCGAGTAGCGCACTTAATGTAACTGGGTGTTAATATTTTGGTACCAAATTATAAACAAACTCAAATTACACATACAAAATACAAATAAAATACTCGTATCCTTCTCGTGCACAAATTTTTTCTGTTTATCACCATCAACGGAGTATTTTATTACAGCAGAAAATTATATAAAAAGTTTTCAAACCAATGGAAAATCATAAAGGTGCCAGAAAAATCAAATAAATGGTAACAAATGATCGTTTCTACTTCAAAGTATGTACAATAAAATCTTGTGACAAAGAGGGAGTGTTGCAGAGATATATTAAATACAAAATTATAAAAACTTTGTTGTCGAAAAGTAATACATAAGAATCGGCTTTATTTGAATAAAAACTGACGACAATCATTTAATTTGTACAAAAGTAAAGTTGCCTATTAAGATAACAATGGCCGCAACAAGTGCAATGTGCATCGTTTAATATAAATCCTCTAATCCTCTCACCGCGTAATTTTGAAGTGTATAACTATTAGTGCTATTCTTCTGTCCCCATTGCTTTCTTTGATCTTTGTTTTCGGTTTCTTCGATATTATTTTTGTTCAAAAAACCATGTCCACTGGTCGCCGTTTAGCCAAACGCTCAATTATCGGTACAAAAGTTTGTGCACCTGGACCTGATGGTCTTTGGTATTCTGGCGTTATACAGGACGTAAAAACGCCTCCTACTGCCACTGTCACGTCGTCGTCGCTATTGGCCGATAGTGACAACGCTGTATCTAATAACAGTGGTACGAATTTAACTGCTGATACCAAGTATATAGTACGCTTCGATTTTAAGACACAAACAATGCAAAACTCTTTGGACTCATCACCATTATCGTCGTCCAAGACGCTAATAATAATGGAGGCACGTCGCACAATTAGCGCTCACTTAAGTCCAGCGCAAGCTTTGCGTCGTAACGCCATGATAAAGGAGTTTCGCGAGTCGGACTTAATAGGTCCTGGATTTCGGTCTATTATGGGCGTTCATTTGCAACCAGGTCAACGAGTGTTTCTGACCCATAATGGGCGTGAAACTTCAGGCGATGTCATCACCCACGATTTGGAAAAGGATGAAATCGGTGTAAAAATCACCACAATCGGAAATGAGGTAAGTACACCGAATAACATAAATTAAGCAAAAATAATTCTTCACCCAAAACGTAAGTTGAAATTTCTGCATACAAACCGTAAATGAAGTAAAACTATTATAATAAATTGTTTTTTGATTAATATATGCATGTAAATGTAAAATGAAATGTATACTAGTTTATTTTTTTTTGCTTGTTCATCTTTTTTGGCGATACTTTTTCTCACCCCTATTTTAGGTGTGTACACCCAGAGGGTGGGAGTGCGAATCTGGCGCACTGCTCAGCAATTGTGTCATGCGAGGTTAAGATTTCTGTGGGAGATGTGCTTGCACTCAATTTGTAGAACTTTTTCTCACATCCTATTTTATATTTCTTATATACTTGCACATACATATATATACAAACATATAAATGTATGCATTACTGCACATTTGCTTACCGTAGAGTGTTTGCGCGTTAAAGAGCAAATTTCGCAGCTCTCACTCGTTGCCAGTTGGCTTTTAGCACATTTACACTTCTTCGGTTGTATTTGAATCTGTGGCAGTCGCAAGTTCGAGGTATACACTCGTATTGGGTAAGTATGTCAAGGTTAAGCGCATTCCGAAGGGTGGCGCATGCGATGGAGAGCTTGAGAGGGAGTGAAAGGTTAACCCAAACCCCTACGATACTGTAAAAACAATGAAAATGAATAATGGTATACATTTTTCCGATTTTCAAGCTGCCATCTTAAGTAGGATTTTTTCCGTAAAAAAAAAAAAATTGTCATCACGTATTGGATATGTATACACAACTATGATTTTACTTCTTTTTTCAGGCGTCTGATTCTTTAATTAGTGCTTGGTGTATTCGCATAGCCACTTGCTCAATGTTTCTTATTTCAAATTTTAACCATATTTCATTGAACCACTAGCACGGTGCTACAAAAAAAAAGAAATCACGAAATACACCCGAAACGAAACTTAGTGTACCTAAATGAAAATAGGTTTCTTATAGTTATTTTCTTATCTAAATATTAACAGATTGACTGTCACACTTTCCAAAAAATCTTAAAGTCCGGTACATACACACGTATGCATGTATGTATGTATAAATTCAAGGCCGTATTTTTACTAAAATAAACTGGTAAACTTCCACAATTTCTATGCAAATGCATTAGTTAAGGTATCAATTTATTTGAAAATAATTAAACTTTTAAATAAATTATACATATTTGGCTACTTTAAAAGAAATTTTTTAAATTAGCGATGGCCAAAATTGAAAAAATTAAGCAAAATCTGTTTTTTTTAATAATCTTACCCGACAAAAACTACCAACAATATACTGGTATACATTATTTTAATAATAATAATTTTTTGGCGCTTACATACATGCTAGTGTTTTGACCTAGCTTATCCTCAGATCTGGTCACGCACAGGGAGGGACCTACACTTTTACGCCGACGGCGATTACATTTTTATGAGAAGCTGTTTTCATTACAGAAATACACTCGCAGGTTTGCTATTGCCTGCCGAGGGGGGCCGCAATTAGAAAAAAAATTTTGTTTTTAATTTTTTGTTCTTGGTCGGAAACTGGACTTGAATGGTATATTTACATTTACATAAGCATTATGGATGCATAAACGGTTAGTTATGGATAGAATTAAAATAAAACACACCTAGCCTTTTCGTCGGCGGCGCACAGTGTGAGATTTTGAAAATCTAGGATGTCAAAACTTAATTTTAGCCAAAGTTCGAGAGTTATGAACTTGATTTGGCATGATTTTTATCAAGAACATAAGCTTCCATATGGTTATGAATAACTAGTTCCAACTACTATTCCAGAGTAAAACGAAAACATTTGACCTTTATATACTAAAATGGCCGACTATCCCTAAAAAGACAAGTTGGAGTTGGATTGGTTGAATAAGGAAAATGAATTAGCAACAAGAGTTTACGGGATGTACATAGCTCAGTGGTTAACGCTTCTGACTTTGAACATGGATTACGCAGGTTGCCATAACTTCTACCGCTTAGACTTTGTTGCTTTTTCAATTTTTCCTAATTAACAATCATGGTTCAAAGCTCAATAAAAATATTAAAAATAAAAATAAAAAAAGTTAATAGGACCTTTCTTGTAACGAAAGAGCCGTCAAAAAAACAAGGGTCAAAATTTTTTGAAATTTTAACTTTATAATGCTCAGATATTCCTAAAAACTAAAAAATTGCCCCCAAAATATTTTTTTTAAAAAGCTGATACAGTTGGCTAAAAACAAGCTCCATAGGTAGTTTTTCATTAGGGTTTTTCGTTTAAACGTGAGAAGTTTTTTCTAGAACTACTGTCGATCACCTTCTTAACCTTGTAACTCCATCCCCATACAATTTTTTGTTCGTCTAGACCTCCCACTATCACTGTGTGAGTTTATAACTACATAGTCCCCTTTTACATTAGTTAGAACAATTTCTCCATATCCATGTTGAAGTCTGTGTTTTTCTTAGTACGCATGCCAAATTTCAAGTTATATCATGTCTAGTGACGATATCTTAAATTATAGCTTTTCACTTTTATCTCACTCAAGCAAATTTCATAAAGCTCCTCGTGCAATATATCACTTAATTTGAAAAAAGACGCCTTCGGGCAAAAAATGGGCAAGATTTTATTTTCTAGGTCTGTTCTGTGATTATGTACGCTCATCCTATATGCTTTGTCGTAGGCGAACTACGCCGAACTGGTAAGTTATAGTTACGGTAACCATATTTATAGGAGCCTAATATGGGACAAAAAATAATTTTGCTAATTTTTTCCACAAAGGCTAACAGATCTTAAAACCTTCTTCAATGACCCTAGATGTATTAGCCATGAAACAGCATCCGTATAGTAACATCATACATTTGTTGGACATTTTTCTCGGGAGTTTTTTGGCAATTTTTTGCTAACGGTGTTACGCATCTTTTTCGTACAAAGTAAGAATGTACGAAAATTCTTTGATAGGGAAGCACATGAGCAGCACCTTGCACTTTATTATACTCAATTTTAATGAGCTACAAACCTGCAAACAAATGATCTTATAACTATTATGATTAAATAGTTTGAAATTCCGTTCAAACTCTACAGAATTAATTTTTATAATTTTTTCACAAAGTCGGAAATTTTGATTTATATAGTTTTTGTTGGGAAGATAGCTTTACTTTCATAAAAAATAATAAACATTAAACAAAGAAAAATAGCCAAGCCTTTCTAAAATGTAGAGTCCTAATTTATATTTTTTTGGTCACTGTATGTGTTCCTCGATTCGAATCACAGGCACTCAGATTATAAAATAATAACAGTTTATGGAGAAAGTTACGATCATATACCAACCAGTGCTGCCACTTTACCACAATTGTGGTAGATCTACCACATTTTCGGAAATTTTTCACTTCTACCACAACTACCACATATTTAAAAAATCTACCACAATTTTACTGCTGCTTTCATAAAAGTTGAACAGCAAATTTTCTCCTAAATATCAATTTAAAAATCAGAATATTGTGTTAGTTCAAGAGGTGAAGGTACTGCCAAGCATTTCAAAATTTTTATTGCGTACATAAGTATAAATGCTGGTTTTCACTCACAAATTTAGTGGCATTTATCAACAAATAAGTGAAAACACGTTGTCAAATGGAACTAAAAAACGGTTTATCGATTGACTTAGATCAGAATAGGTTTTCAGTCGTGTACATGTGCTGTTAAATTGACTATGTGTCCGTTGCTGGCCCATAATATACTTGGAAAAGGCATGGGAAAAGGAGATAAAGTTGTTTCAAAATATGTTGCCAAAATTTGTTGACAAAATACGACATAGTGGAAACCAGTCTAAAGCTGCATTTACACGAATCGATTTTTCTGGCGATACATTTCCACAGGAAACAAAAGTTGAGCGAGTGCAATTGTGATATTATTTTCTTCCAAAAAATGTTGCCCTTTGACAGTGCAAAATGTGTTTGATGTTACACTCAACCCTATAAAAGGGTATGTCTTTGCCTTCTTCTCCTTGTCCAGCTCAAGCATTTTATAATATCAGCGTTTTAAGCAATCGTCTGATTTACGGGGTAACCATCTCCCCTGACAAAGCTTCAAAGGGTAGATAATGTGCGTTTTTTTGGTTTACAAAAGTGTGAAATTTTAAGAAAGGGACACAAAATTTTCTCACCTTGCCTTTATTTTAGAATCGAACGCGAAGAGAGGTGAAAAGGCGAAATTTTTTGTTAGAAACGTACACACCGTTATACACCTTTTGTATTATTTATTCATCTTTCATATGAGTTAAATATATATCCACTTAAAAACTTATTGCACTTGTTTACATCACACTAATGTTTGTTCTCAAATACACTAGTAGATAATCAGAGTTCCATCGAGGAAATATCGCCTGGCAATGGTGTAATTCGGCGAATAAAAAGTTTACAAATATCCTACCACACTTTGTTAGAGATCTCCCACTGTTTTTATAATAATCTACCACTAATTTGGTTTCTGAAGTGACAACACTGATACCAACACCATTATTCATGAGCTGTTATGGCGTTAAAATACCGAACACCGAATACGGGACAAATACAGGACATTAAAAGAAATACAGAACAGATGGCGTCCCGTATAAACTAAATAATTTACCAGAACAATTGGTTAAATAAAATTATAGTTTAAAAAACTAAAACCTCGCTATTATAATTTCCATTCGTACTGTCATCAGGTATGTAACTTGAGAATAGAAATCGCTGCATCTTTCAGGTGCATCAATATTACATAGTTACATACCGAGATAATAAAAGGGAGGTAAAAAGAGGACTGTCCCGTTTAATACATGACGGATGGGCGCCGTAGTTATAGTCTATGAAACATTCAAGATTTTTGAAATTTGTCTTACCTTTTACTGATTATAAATTAAAATACTTAAGAGCAAATATAAGGGTCCAGAATAGCAAAAAATTTTAGTGAAAGTATTTACCTTTAATACAAAAAAAAACTTTTTGTCAAAAAAACGCGCAAAACTTCAATTTGA